TCTCTCTCTCTCTCTCTCTCTCTCTCTCTCTCTCTGTCTGCAGGTTTTTGTTGTTTCCCAGCGGTCAGTACTGAACGCTGTTCCCGACGCACACTTTGCCGTGATGATGAACTACACACACAGTGCCAGGACTTTATCTGGGACGGACAGACTTCACTCGAGAATGCTGTTGAAGAGAGGAGATGTTTCCCACAGGATCATCCATTCGGTTTCTCTCGCCTTCTCCGATCGTCTGACCTGACCTTCCGTTTAGTTTTAGACCGTCTTTTAATTTTACAGTCATTCACTGCAGTTAAAGATGCAGATGGCAGATGATTATACCCATGTTTAAACTGCATGCTGTGACGCACTGGAGAGGACAGCGGACGAACGTTCACTTCCCCCATTTGGTTTGTTTTCCCGATAAATATTTTTTAAGTATTATTTATATAAAATACATCCCAACTGAAGCTGAGCTCGTGGTCTTTATTCGCATGCGTGTTTGACGGGGAAAGTGCTTTCACTGCGAGAAACGCCTTCATAGTCTTTTTATTACCGTGTCTTCCTTTTGTTGTTGTTTGTTTTTGCCACAAAATAAAAATTGTGTTTTCTCACAATTGTGACTTTTTTTCCCTCACGATTGCGAGAAAACATCTCACAATTCAGGCTTTTTAAAAAAAAAAAATTTTTTTTATCAAATTGTTTATATTTCGCTGTTCTGACTTTTTTTTTCCCCTCACAATTCTATTTTGGAATTTTGTATTTTTTCTCAAAACTGTCAGAAAACTGAAAAAGTCAGAATTGTGAGAGAAAAAAAGTCACAATTATCTTATATAGATTTTTTCTGTTACATAGCAACAGCAGGCTTCCATACAATTGCTTGGATAGAAAATAACGGGCTTTTGAGCCACACATCAAAATGACCCTCCTTCCAGTGACACATCCAGGCGCAACAAGGAATCTGCAAATATTAAGTTAATAACTACGATGCATTACCATGTACATTATGAAGACCTTTGTTGCATCATGCATAAAGGCTTCAAGTAAAATGTTTCCCACAGTTCTGTCATCATTTCCTCACCATCATGTGGTTTCAAATGCACTTTTTCTTCTGTGCAACACAAAGGAGATGTTGCTGGCGGAGGACGAGGCTTTTTGTGACATTTTGGAGTTTGCTGGTGTCTAGAGAAGAGCAGCGTGAGCATTCTGCTAAACATCTCCATTTGTGCTCTACATAAAGCGCTGCACTTCTTCAGGTGTTCAAACGAACGAGTTTTCCCATGACGCACTGCACGGTCCAGTGTGATCTATACAGAAACCGTCAGTTTATCGTCAGTGTTGGGAAAAGTTACTTTTAAAAGTAATGTTACAATATTACGTTACTCCATAAAAAAGTAACTAATTGTTACTTAGTTACTTTTTATGGAATGTAATGCATTGTTACTTTGTATCACCTGAGCTGGGCTTGCTTGTTTATTTTTAATAACAAAAACCCCAAATGTTATAGTTATAGAACTATAAAGGCCCTTTCACACCAGAAGTGAAATGAATGCTTCACTTTACTAGTTACTTGAAAAAAGTAATCTGATTACGTAACTC